GACACTGGGGTCAACCCTTACAAGCTCTGAGGCTGCGCAGTCTCGGAACAGTCATGACTTGTGGGCAGATATGAACTTCCACCTTCCCTAACGGGTGGTGTGGGTGGGCAGCACAGGAAAGTAAAGCAGCTCAGGAGTTAGCTGGCTGGGGAGTACAGAAGTCAGTCAGTCTCTGATTTTGATGATTCACATGGCAAGTGTGGCAAGCTCTCCAACTGAATCAGCAGAGTAACGGGTGGATTTTGATGGCACTTTGCCTGGGTTCTACTAAAAGGTCACTGAAAAAAAAAGATGCTTCTTTGTAAAACATTTCCATTTCAATGAATCAGGTCTTTCTGTTGAAACAGAAATGTTTTGCTGAAAACCTGTTGTCTTGGAAAACTCCCAACCATTTATCTCTCTCCTACTCCCATACAGAGGAAACGGGTTGTCTCAGCCTTTACTTCCTCTTCCAATGTTTCAGCCATCCTGTACTTCACCTTGTGCCAACTCAGGGTCTGTCTCACATCACACACATCTATTGTGGTCCAAATATTTTGTACTGGGAAGTGCACAAGATCTTCAAACAGTATGAGGAGAAAGAAACATTGCTACTCAATAAAAGACAGAGAGACCGCATAGCTGTGTGATGAGAGTTTGTCACCAACTGAATGGGAAATTCAGCCTACATTTTCTAAAGGACATAGGTCACTTCAATTCCTTAAGTGCTAGTTTGCACCTGGGATCTTTGGTACTCTTTGATTGCAAACACTAGTAAAGCATTTGAGGGCCAGGGAAAACCCATAATGGGCCAAAGCCATCCAAAATGTTATTGAACTAAACCAGGGCTGTTCTTGGCTACAACTGCATTTTGACTTCTGACTGTAGAGGAACATGAGAGGTACACTCAATTATTTGTCATGAAAATACTAGCCAGGGAATTTAGTCCTTTTTTTGTTTAGTTTTTTTTTTTTTAACATGCCTCAGTCTCTGTGAGTGCATTTATTACTTGTAAGCGCTTACTAATCCTTTGTGAGCAAATGTTAGCATTTGGTTTGTTTCCATCTGTCATTCCTACTGGCGGTCTGTGCCTGGCCACGTCATTGCATAGTGATGTACCATTGACTTTTTCCCCTTCCTGACAACTCGAACTCATTGGATAGAAGAAATATCTTGGTAAACAATTTTAAAATAACTTTTTGAGAAAGTAGTCTTCTGGTTGAAAGGATCAGCACTCTGTGCAGGCAGGACTGTTCTAGAGGTACAAGAAAATATGTTCAGAGTCACATACTGCCTGTGTCCCCCCCATCATCAATCAGGGGAGTTACTGAGGTGCACATATGCTCACCTGAGCCAGCATCATGCCAGGCCAGCACAGGGTCCAGCACAGGCTGCAAACTCATCCAGGAACCAGGGTGGATGTGTAGGCCCAGGCAGCATGTACTTGGCATGGACCACGGCTTCTGACTGAACTTTGCCTTTCCTCCACTTGCTAAAAAAATACTGTGAAGTAGCTGGTGGCACCATGGGATTTAAGGTTTTTAAGCAGCTCAGAAGAGTTCAAAAATCAAGAAAAAAGCCTTTGAATGATAAAAGAGGGAACACAATAACAGCTGAGGATGGAAAACACCCACTGAGATAAGCAAAAGCATTGTCAGCTTCAAGGAAAGAACTGGAAATATTATGAAAGGTGGTGTAAACAAAAAACCTGCAAACACTTTCAATATAAAGGTATTGAGTGTGCAAAGCCCTTTGTCAAGGTTCCACGGTCATCTGGCCAACAAATTAATGAAGGCCTATAAAATGGCAGTTGCAAACTTTTGTTCAATTTTGCAAAATTTTTAACATTTTATATCCCACAAATCTTGCCTGCTAAAAGACAGACTGTCCTTACCCTGTTTTCAGACTGTTCCATTTCCTGCTATCCTGGTTTATCATTTTGGCAACAAATTATTTCAGAGTGTACATGCATTGCCTCATAACATGCAGCACTGCTGTATTGAGCTAGCATTCAGCCCTGCTACTGGCAAATTGAAAGCCAGTTTAAACACCCCCTTCCCAGCTGTGGTTACATCTTTGACTGCCCTGTGGATCTATGAATGATGCTGAAATACTTGTAGTTACAAACCCGGGGCACCAGATGTATGCTGCCTTTGTTAGAAGTAGGAAAATGTGTTTGCTCCCCCTTCAGTTTTCAGTATGTAGTCCTTTTACTTAATAATAACAACAATAATAATAGTAATAATAGTAATGATACAATACTTTTGTACCTATTTTCATAATTTTCATGGGTCAAAATATTCAACTGAATTAGTTTAGTTCAACAGAACATTTCAGCTTCAAATAGCACAGGACAGTGTGGAAAGTAAAAATTCATGTCTCTGATGTTGCATTAGCTTTTTGTGAAATAATCTTGTTAAAAGGCTGTTTCACTTCTTGAAGGTATTGAATAGAACTGAAAAAACAAACGAACAAAAAAAAAAAACCACAAAAAAACCCCAAACAAAAACAACAACAACAAACATTATTACTTCATTTGTATACTTGCTTTCCTACATTCCCTGCTTCATCTCTCTCTGCAGGCTCAAGGGATCCTTCCATGTTTCAGGCTGGCACAGCTCCACAAAACAGCTGTGCCAATTATTTCCATTTGGCGACTTCCACTGTGTATGTAGCTCGTTCTGAAGTTGCTGCAATTACTATCATTATGTTATTTCTTGGCACCGAATGGAAAAAGACGAGTGAGTGTTTGGGGGGCTTTGGTTAAGTTCAGTAGGCTGCTCATTCTTGCAAACTGCCGAGAGCAACTGGGAAGGAGGCAGAGGGAGGAGTGGACATTTTGGAAAAACAGCAATCATTTTTAACTCGGTAAGGAGACAAAGCAATTTCTTATTGAAGCCTAATAAAGTTCAGGTCAGCCAGTTCCTTCAGAAAGGGAAATATATTTTCAATGTATTAGATTAGCACTGCAGTACCTATTATGCCCTTGCTTTTATGCAGCTTACAGAGATCTTTACCACATCTCCAACCCGCAAGAGCTACTTGTGTAATGCCAGTGCTGAGAAAAACTATCACATGGTTTACCTCCATCTGGAAAACAGTTTTGAAGGTTTGTTTCACATGGTCTGTAACACTATTCACCCTCCTTTGATCCCAGAGCTGAGAGAGGAGCTATTCTCCAGACACAAAACTGATCTGAAGGAAACTTGTTTCATCTGGCAGCTGAAGTTTGAAGGACTTAAATTTATGTAGCTTAGGGTCCACAAACCTGGCATCCCTCCCATACAGGAGGGACTCCCGTGCCTTTGCATACCAAGCCGAGTGGCAGGTCAGAACAGAAAAATGCTGTAAAACATCTAGTCTAGGTGTTGTGCTGCAAGCAGATCATCACAGCACATCTTCTAAAAATCAGGTTTTTAATACAACAGCAAAGCTGAAGCAAGCCTGGGCTACCACAGGGCTCTGGCAGCAGGTGCCACGCTCGCCTTCCCAAGGCCCTTCCAAAGGGACAAGACCTGCTGCTGCACGGGCGCTGGCGCCGCAGGGCCCTGCCAGGGACACACAGACCGGCCGAAGCTTTTACACCTCATTTCCGTGTTTTCCTCCTTAAGAGTGCGACTGGAAGCCGTGACTACGGTCCCAGGAGGTGACGGGGGATGCCAGATGTGCCACCCGCAGCCCCGTCCCTCCCAGCGCTGCCACCCGGAACGCGGCGGGAGGGAGGGCCGGGCGGGTGCGCGCCCCGAGATCCCCTCACAGCTGTTTGATACTTGCCGCTTGTTGCCCCGCGGCCCCGGCAGGAGGCTGCTCCCCGCTCCGCAGGGATGCGGGGGCGCGACACGCGGGTCGGCAGAAGCAGCGCCCCGGGGGTGCAAGCGGCGGGCGCTGCCGAAAGCCCCGGCCCCTCCCGCGCCTGGGGGGGTGCCCCGCACCCCGGCCCGCGCAGCTCAGCACCCCTTCCTCCCTTCCCGCACGCCCGGCC